TAATAGTTTGCTTGGATCAGCTTGTTGGAAACAAACTATTTGAACTTCGCTAAGAGCTAGAGATCAGCTTTAACTACTTATTTATGTACTCACCTTCCTTTTTTCTCTTAATTTAGCAGCTTCTTTTGGATGATTGAAGCGAAACATGTTGGTCCTACCCAAGAGGATGACAGCCCCTTTAAAAAAAAATAAATAAAAATGTGTAAACACAGGTAAAAGTTTTCAGCAGATCACATTATAATATCCCCAAACACTAGCACCATATTTTGGTTGGAGATCAAACAGCCTACTAGTATGACTTTCGAAAGTAGTTGAAAACCTGTACAAAAAAAGAGCATACATACAAACTCCATGCAAATGCTTGGTAGGGTTTTAACTCAGGACCCAATGCCACAAGGCAAGAATGGTACTGCTCACCTACACAATCCTATGATTAACATGATATTATTGGATTTTTTTTTTAATAGATATTTTGCTAATCCCATTCATACCCATCCTTCACTACACTTTTACAGCCTGTAATAGATAAAACACAAAAGGAAAACAAAAGTGTCTTTTGAGGTCAACTTTATATTAAATTGCTACAAAGATGTCAATGAATGTCAGCAATATAAAATGAAACCATCATAAACAATGGAGCTGATACATTACGTTAAATCTCTTGTTGTCAGGTGGAAACAAAGCTGGCTTTCGAACAGAAGCTTTTCAATACTCCGGGTACAAAAGGTGAAATTTACAAATGCACACCAAAGTGTGACTGTCATATGAAATATAATAATGAAAATCCTTATTGGGACACAACTGTTCATGACCCTGTAAAAACTCTCATCACTTGGGGTCATAAAGGGTGTAATAAATTCAGGAGTCATTACTGCCACTGGGGCATGGCAAACATGACTGTGTAGAACAATGGTTATTAACACTTTGTATGTGTACCCCAGGGGTACTCTTTTCATGGGCTAAGGGGGGCATTTTTTACATCTCACAGTAAGTTCTTCATAACAACTTGGAATTCTACACCTCACCTTGTGGAATGGGCAACTGAACTCGATGCCATAAGGGAACATTTGTTCTTGCAGGGAAATGACAGGGAAGAACAACTTAAAACTACTTGGACCTACTGTTCAATGTTTCATTATTCATTTGCATTTCAGGATTGGAATGGGGAAGATATCCCCCCAGCCTCCAACTAGATATGATGGAGTTATCACAACACCTCTTCTCCCTATCAAAGCCCTGGTGGTCGTCCTCCTTCTTTCCTACTTTCCTTTTCAGGCGATTCTTGTCTCCTCTCTTCCCACTTCTGGGCTCTAGCCTTACAGGCTTAATTACCCCCTCTCCATTAACAGGCACATCTGACAGCTGAATTGTATTACTTTTCACTGTGTTTTCTGAAGAAGGCAACCTCTAACCAATCTGATTGGGCTGTGTTGTTCCTAGTTAATTCCTAGATGATCCAAGATAGTAGTGATTCAGCACTAGTGCCTTCTGTCTTTTATTATCAGCATTTACGTACCTATGCAAAATCTTTTGATGTGTACGTTCCATCACAAGTGGAAGATTTGAACCATGCCACCTCTGTACTTTCTATATATTGTACCTGTAACTCCTGTTATAAAAACTTAAATAAAACAAGCTTGAACATATAATAGTTCTTTTTTTATATACAATGTACTGTCTGAAAAAGTAGTCCATGCAATTAGAGGACATCACAAAATAATGTATATTATTTATATGATGCCTTCTTTTGGTTAGCCCATATATAGTCAGCCAAGCAGAAATCTAATGTAAATCTAGGCTCATTCTCAGCCTTGAAAACATCCAAGCATAGAAAATGGGCCAATTGTACACTGTGTCCTCCAAAAAACGATTTTGCCTTTTCCAAATAAGCCCAGGATATAAGAAAGAGCTTTTTTGTATCATGGCCTAATTTGGAATAAAGTAATGGACACAGTGTGAGATATTTTTTCTTAGTTTGGGTATTTGTGATTAGCATACCTTCATTGGGTTTCACAGGGTGCATTAAAGTAGAACTAATGGCAAAACTTTTTTTTCATTAAGGATTGAGTAAGGGAGGGTTATAAACTCGGCCAGTTTTTTTTTTTCCACCATCTGTGTCCCGTTGAGGAAATTGCCCTTCTCTTCCCATCCTCATAGGAAGTAAGAGGAATATCCTCCAAACTCAGAGAAACCCTGGTTGCCACCAGGAACTAGTGTCCCCATCTGAAATTTTCCCCTCTATTCCTGGTCTGATGACTACTCAAAATTTGGGATTTTCCTTCATCTTCACTGGTGATAACAGTAAACAGGACAAATGAAGAGGATATATCTCCCTAAGGCCTGGTTTATATCTGTGTGGGTTTTCAGTGCACATTTACATAGGCACGCAAGCCATCAGGAAAAAGGTTCCTGCACCATTCAAAAAATGCAGCGGGCGGGAAATCGCATAGTGCTTTTGCACCATGCAATTTCCCTGTGGTTCCCACATCTGCAAACACGCTGTGCTCTTAGATGAATGCCAGCTCTGCGCACTTTCAAACAGCAGCAGGTTTTGACTGCGGGAGGTTGCAGGTGCAGGAATTTACTGTGATTCCCACACACGCAACCAATGCATAGATGTGAACCTGGCCTAACAGGGGAATAGACAGCATAAAACCTGACAGGTGTAATAATCCCTTTGTAGTCCAGCCAAAACTAAAAAAAAAAAAAAAAAGGTTTTGCCTTTAGTTATACTTTAGGCTGAGAAACACAACATTATCAGAGAAAATATATGAAAGAACTCTATGTACCCCCCCTTAAAGCAACCATTCTCAACCAGGGTTCAATGAAACTCTAGGGTTACTCCACAGGTTGCTACATGACCTTGCAGTTAATGAAACCTGCAAATTTCCACAAAAAATTTTCATAAAACCAATGAACTTTTTGGTCGCCTGTAAGGGTGGCACTATGACCACCACTGACCCTCAATGAATGGGTTTTCCCTAGGGTCCAAGTTGCTCCCTGAGACCTGAAAATTGTTTCAAAAGTCCCTCCAGGATAAAATGGTTGAGAAAAGCTGCGCTAAAGACTGGCTCTCATCCTATAATATCTATATGGAGTGAATTATTTCTACCAGTACAATAAAGGTCTGGTCTAGTCTATAGACTAAAGCTGGGAATACATGGTATAAAACCTGGCTGTTTCAGCAGGGACCAGCCGAATTTCAATCTGTGTATGAGTACTGTGGTTGTACAGAATGCAATTTACTAATTACCTTCTGTACACCTGCCCTGTCAGGCTTTTCCCGCTTGATCAGCACTCTAGGCTATAGCCTGCAATACTGACCTGTGTATTCTGACACTGGAAAAGCTGCCCCACTATCAGAATATGAAAGATCAGAGGGAGGATTCCACATCTACATCGAGTGTGTGGATGAGGGGTTCAAGTATTTTTTTTTATTCAACCTGCATTTTTATGTATGGGCTGCCTAATACAATTCAGTATCTTCCTACTAGGCATTTGGTAATAAATTACATATTGATGACACAGAGTAATCAATCTCCAGCAATCCAATAAAGATATATTCACATCACTGCATTTTACTGGTATCTGGTAAAATCCTTCCTGTTACATCTTTTGGTGGGGTTTCCAGCAAAACGCTCCTTCCATAGGGATCAATGGTAACATGTAAAATGTGTGTAAAACCCACCCAAAGAAAACTACATAACAATTACAACACATGAAACACAGTGATGTGTTTCAGGTTGCTTTATCACGTACCAGTCTACCCCCATTCATTATAGCCACAGACGAATTCTCACACATAATATTTGTTACAAGCAAAATGCCACACACAGTATTCATCCAGGTATGATAATCCAAAAAAACACATACTGGCAAGGGGAAAATACTAGGAATATCCATCAAAGAAGGGAAAACATGCAACACACATCCATCACATCCACAAAAGTCACATAGAATGTTGACAGTCACAGGGGAAAACACCACAAGACACACAAGTCATTAAGGAAAAATGCCACACAGAACAACTTCCAGGCTAAATGAAAAAGAGCATACACAAGAATATACACACACTCTCAGGTAAAGATAATGTATGTACCCCAGAGCTAACATGCATCACCTAAGAAAAAGGGAACAAAGACAGAATGATCATTTACCTTGCCTTATACATATTTTCACAGTTTTTTTTTATTTCAGTAGCAGTGACTGAAGCAATAATTGTAAGAAATACACAAAATGTTAATTAAAATCAATATACCTATCAACCCTAGCCAAATTATTTATATCTTTGGAGTTACTGCAACTGGAGGGTTGCCTAAACATGGATGAGTAGCCATTTGCTGTCAACATTACAGACCTAAATATGAATGGAGGTAGTCTTCTAAGCAACAACATGATATAGCAACGCACAAAATAAACTGGATGGCCCTTCATTTTTTTTTTTTTTTTTTTTTTTTTTTTACACAGAAAGGTAAAGCTGGCCATACATGTTTTGAATTTCATGTGATTCCTGGTAAATCAGATGACACCCTCCCTGACAATCCTCTGATGTGGTCTATACAATGAAACGCATTACACACAGCGAGCGGTGACATCATCATGCTCACCAGCCAAGTGCAGTGGTGCTTTCAGTGATGGTCTCTCTTAACTTCTGTATCTGTCGGCATTTTGAATAAATTATACTTGGCAGCGCTGCATTATTTGGGCCTTTTTTATTCTTTCTGTTCATGTGGCACTGTGGAATGAGTTGGTAATTTGTTGAGCACATCTTACAGCCAGAGTAAGCAAAGAACAAAGGTATACCGCTCAGGGAAACAATCCAGACCAATCCACAACAGGTGCAGGCTATGGCTCTCCACCACACACACGATGCAACAGGAAGAAGGGTCAGCTGCACACCGGAGGATAGATGAATATAGTGTGTATTTATTGATCCATAGGACACACAAACCACCAGGATATGAATACAGGACCTGTTAATGCGTTTCACACGATCTCATGCTTAACCTCCCTGGCGGTATTCCCGAGTGTAGCTCGGGGTAAAGTTTCAGCACCACAAGCGGTAACCCTGATCTACACTCGGGAATACCTTGCAGCACTGATCCGGGATCTCTTCTTCACTTACCTTGTCCTTCGCTCCCACGATGTCCCTCCTGCAGTGTCCCCGGCAATGTCCTCCGGCCGATGCCGGCATCTGTCTTCCGGGTTCCATTTCCTGCGACGTCGGGACGTACGGGGGACGGAACGGCGGGAAATGTAAAAATGTGGAAAAGTGACATTCACTAAATACACTAAAATCACATAGTAAAACATTACTGTATCAAACCATTTCACATACATTTTGTCCCTAGTGCTTTGTCCTGTGCCCTGCCTGCATATTTACTGTTCTTTCTGCCTGGAAACTGAGAAAAGTCCATGGTGTCCAAAAAGCGTCCCTTTAGGTCAAAAGCGGTTTTAGATCAGCTAGAGAACAGCGATAGTAAATTAGAACCACTTGCAGAATTGAGTGATAATGATTCGTGGGGAAATTCATCATCAGACACTGAAAACGATTTTGCGACTTTGATCAGTGATGTGCGAACTTGGCGCTATATTTCAAATTTCAGTGTTTTTGGTTTGATTATATTATTGAATTAAATTTATTATTATATTATTTTTTATGATTATTACATTATAATTTATGATTTCGTGTTTCAAATTTTAACATACCCGGGATGTTTACTAGACTCTTGTTCAGACAGATTTCAGTGAGTTATTCCTAAAAATTACAGGCCTACAATAAAAAAAATACATATTGCCATGCAAAAAAATGTACCTACCACTTTGAGCACAGAAATACTGACATAATCAGACCGCTAGGGAGGTTAATCATGATTAAGCACCAGATCGTGTGAAACGCGTTAACAGGTCCTTTATTCATGTCCTGGTGGTTTGTGTGTCCTATGGATCAATAAATACACACTATATTCATCTATCCTCCGGTGTGCGGCTGACCCTTCTTCCTATTGCAGCCAAAGTAAGCAACTTGGATGCTTGTGCATTACAGAGCACTTTTGACCTCCGATAACATAGATGTGTGTGAGTCCGGTAAGCATTGTGTGCACCTGGCGGTGTGGGCAAGAGCAGTTGGCTGTATAACATTCACAGGATTCTTTTGGCTCAGAACACCTCTATACTGGACTCTCTATTTTTGTGTTTAGGGACTTGACCTATATATTTATTTCACTTTGATTTACTGTATTTACATTTGCATGTGTTTCATTCATTCACTTGTATGTGTTCAGTTTTAAAGGGATAGCGCATCATTTTTTTTTATAGTTTTGTGTTCAGTATTTGGATGTTTTGTGTGCAATGTACCCCAATTTACCTAATGTTTTCACTAAGTATGGAGTTTTTTTTTTGTTATTTTAGAAATTCGATATGTGGTTGACCTTGCTAGCAATTCCCGGATGATAGACTTCCATCTGGGGATTGAAGGAGCTGAGCAGGAAAATTCTAAGCTGAATAATGACAGTATCCACTCAACAGCAGGTACTGTGCAGGTATTCTGCCAGCCAGGGGCATCAGCTGCCAGAATACAGAGGCTGGCAGGGGAGATTCATTCATCTGTGCCATTTAGCGTAGATCAAAGAATATGTTTAAAATTTCTTTCAGCCCACAAACTAAAAAAAAAAAAAGTATCTGTGTGTGGCCAGCTTAGGAAGCAGATGATTAGGCAAAGGGCTCATTCACATAGTTGCTGAGAACTGACCTCCACTTTTAACAGACTGTGCATCCACCTCAGAGCTGCATACAGGAGACTCATAGAAATGGATGCAGATGAAGCAGCTGCATGGGCACAGTTGCATGTCAAAATCTGACATACGAACAGGAGTGCGCACCTGAACACAGACACTGTGCATTCGGATGTGTGCATCTGCACCTGGGACTGACATGCGACTGTGTCAATGCAGCGATTACATTTGCATCCACTTCTATAGGCTGCCTGCACACAGCTCCAAGGTGGATGCACATGCAACCGAAAATAGCTCAGCACTGAGAACAAGTCTCAGCACCCATCTGAATGAGCCCTTAAAGTGTTACTAAACCCAGGAACCTGCATTCACTATATCTGGTCTCCCACAGTACACGCAACATAGAAATGCAACTATTTTAGTAAATATAAACTGCTAAATACATTTTCTCATCAGCAGTTAGAGCAGTCTTGTGACTTCTATCAGTGTCAAGCATAGCACGCTAAAGCTTGTAGGAGGAATTTTCATTCTCCCCTGATTGTCCTATGAGGCTGCATAACCCGACCCTCTGTCTGGACAGCAATGATTGGCCCGGAGCTGAACACATGCACTCTCCCAAGAAAAAAAACCTCTCTAACAACACATACCAAACTGAGCATGTGCAGCTTGCCCCCAAGGCTCTGTTCTATCAGCAGATGGATTAGGGACAGTAGAAGAAGGGGGGGGGGGGGTCAGAGAAGATCCCTTAGCCCCTTAGATTCCACAGTGAGTATGACAAGCATGCTTTACTGCATATACAGACTGATTTTACTGTTGTGGGTTTAGTAACACTTTAAAATGATAATGCATTTCTCAGTGTGTGCGAGTGTGGGCATGCAGGGCATGTCAAAATGGACAAAAAAGGGCAGGGCAGCAGACATGAGCTGCAGTAGTAACGACTGGCAGATGGCAAAGTCTGATCATTACAGCCTTCCATCCTACATCTTAACCTGAACTGTACAGTGAATATAAAGTAATATATTTAAAACTTTTAAGGAAAACTTCTAAGAAAGTACACCAATTTGACAAAATAAGTCAACCGAAGTAAAAGAGTTTCATTTTTTTTCACCTTTGTAGAAAATCATCTTAGTCTCCTTCTATGTTCATCCAAACCTGTTGATCTTCCAGATCATGAAGCTTTCCGCTTCAGTTCCTTTAATCAGCCGTCCACCAGCTGGGTGTCTCAAAGTCGACTGAGGTCCACTTACAAAACCTACATCTTCCAATATTCCATCACTGTGGGCTCTTTGGTTCAGCTATATGTCATCATAAAAAGACTAACGAGATAGAAAAATGACTGCAAGGCCAGTATCAGCATTACAAATTAATTTATGATTGCCACTGGACTAGAACAATTATATATGTCCCTACGGGAGGGGGAATAACCTGATTATTAACCTTCCATTAAAGTTTCTAGAACTATTCATTAGCTCTTTCAGTGAAAATCATCACACGTAGTTTAATATTTTCATGTAACTTTGATCACCTCAGCAGTCTGAGAACAGTGTGTTAATAATCATAACAAAACAGATGGTAAAGTGATGTACTAGGCGGAAGGTTAAGCATAATGGCTGTGTTATGTACTATAGCTCATTTCACTCACAAGGTATTTTCTTCTCGCTTACATGAAAGCGTTCTTTATAATTTAATAAGCCTAGCAATGAAATAAATTGATACTTACTAAAAAAAAAAAAAAATCTCAGCACTAGCAGCCAACTACTAATCAGGGGCCTCGAAACTGCGTCCCAAGGACCGGATGAGGCCCCTTGCTAGCCTTTATCCAGCCCTTGAGTCACTATTCCTCCCAATGATGTGAAGCAGTATTGCTCCCACTGACATCAACAATGGAGCACTATTCCACTGATAACACTTATGTGGTACTATTCCTCCCACTAATATCAATGATAGGGCACTACTCTTCCTCCTACTGGCCACCATCCCTGAGACCATAATTATTCTCACTGATGCTGGACCCGAAACATTTTCTACCCCCATTGGCCACACTCTGTCCCTCAAAGTCTGAAGGACCATAAACTGGCCCTTTGAAAAGTTTGGAGACCCTTGATCTAATTCAAAAACGTCTAACTCCAGTGAAACAATGTTACAATTTGGAAAGGTTTGTTCCCCTTGTACTCAATGACCTCATGTGGATGCTTGCCCTGGTCTTCTTGATGGAAGATAGGTGCCAGAATGAGCCATTACAGTGAGCAAGCTGCAACAAGGACAATGACCATTTCTGCTACTGACATTCTATTTATTGCAATGCAAAGTGTGTATTTAAATATGTTAAAGCTTGTAGGAGGAGTTTTCTTTGTGCCCTAGGAGGATGCAGAACCCCTGACCTCTGTCTGGACAGTGCGGATTGGCCCTGTGCTGATCACATGCACTCTCCCAAAAAAAAAAAAAAAAATCTCTCTAGTAATAGACACCAAACTGAGCATGGGCAGAGTATCTCCACACCATATGTCTTATCAGGAGGTAAGAGGGGGACACTGGAAAGGGGAGGATCAGAGAAGACAGGATCAAACAGCATTTTCACACTATGCAGAGGATTAACTCCTTAGGTTCCACAGTGAGCATAACAAGCACGCTTTACTGCATTTACTGACTGATTTTACTGTTGTGGTTTTAGTAACACTTTAACTAGTAAAAATGGTGTATGTATCATGTTTATCATATACGGTATATTTTTCCTTTTGCATTTACCGATCAACCTGGGTATACTGTGTTATGCTACAAAAAAAAAAAAAAAAACCCCCTTGGTTTTCACGTAGTCATTAATACACTTTAATAGTCTGTAGAAGCCACTTTTACACTGACCTGAAATAAGCATGGGTATATTTGGGTATCCTAGCACCTGATATATACAGGCTTGTTCCGGGTCAGTGACTCACCAGGTATTGGAACAAGGATGAAAATGACATCCCTGAAATGTGAAACCAAGTCAGCAATAGCAGCTTCTAGATTTGTAACATAAGGGAACAAAGGGAAGCATACAACTACCATAGTAAAACATGTTATTAAACTGAACAAAAAAAAAAAAAAATCAAATGCACTCACATTAACCAGATCAGGTGTGTGCCTTTAATCATCCTTCATAGATCACAGAAGAGGGCTCTGAGGAAGAGGCTTATGCAGGCCATAGATGGGGAGAAAAACTGCAGATTTTTCTTTTAAAAAACGAAAAGTCGGTTGTTCAAGTGGCCGACGTTACCATCAATGGTAAAAAAAAAAAAAAATCGGCCGATTTTCTACCCGTCTAGAGCCGGCAAAAAGTGTCCCTGCAGAGAGCTCTGCTATTTCTTTGACAGTTCTCTGACAGTTCCTTGACATTTATAGAAGTTGCAACAATGTATCTATTTGTTTCCATTTAGGATACAGATGTTTTTATTCGGAAACAAATAGATACAATGTTTCAACCGCTGTAAATGTCAAGGAACTGTCAGAGAACTGTCAGAAATAGCGGAGCTCTCTGCAGAGACACTTTTTGCTGGACTGGAATTCTTCTTATTTTCATCCTACTTCTTCTTCTTCTTCATCCTCATCCCTCTTCTTCTTCTTCTTCAT